TTAAAGAGTGACATCTATGAGTATTTTTAGACCTAGAATCTTCCATCTTACATCTGCATTCGTTGTTCTTCATTTCTATCCTTTGTCATCTTCATCACCCTCTATTCGGACTCTGAAGCATGAGCAATCAATTGTTAATTGCGTTTTGCTTGTATTAAACTAACGTGGGACGCTTAGGCCGTTTTTATTGTCATGTTTCGTGGAAATGCGCGGCCTACGAGGGATATTGCAGAAGCAGCACAGTTGCTCTTGAGTTCTGGCCCTCGTCATCATCTTCGGCTTTTGTTTTGCAGCACCTAAAATGTTATCAGCATCAGGAAATTGCGTTTTAGAGTCCGGCATTTTTTCCAGGTGTAGGTTTAGGCGACAGTTGTTTGAACTGTTGTTAAGCCGCTCACTGTATGAGGCACTCTTTTCTGGGGTTCCTTCCAAACTTCTATTAGCTTTTACGACCCCCCCCCTCCATCGGGGCAAATACGACCCCCTCCCCGTTGTGATGATCACAACGATGGCGTGCGTTGAATCCAACCCGCTGAACATAAATGTGATGGTATTTCATTGCAATAACCTTTCTGACATGAGCTACGAGGGCAGCACAAGCACACTTTCAGGCCCCAATGTGGCCACAAGTACACTCCTTATCTCTGAGCCAGAGTAGGCGTGGCATTTGAACATGGCACGGAACTGGTTACTCGTGGAATATTCCAGTCTGGGACAACTGTCATCTTGTTCTCTGTTGGACAGAGACACGACAACAATTGTGTCAAGATGAAAATATCTCACCAGAAGCACAGACACCTTCAGGTTCAGTTGAAGCACGCAGCCACGCCTACCCGATCTCAGGGATTTCGAGTATATGTGCCTTCAAATGGCATATACTTGACTTATTTCCCACTGCCAGAAGGCACGCGAATGAATGGAAAGCTGAAAAATGCAAAAAATTCTTCCGCGAGGAGGATCCGATCCGAAGTCCCCCCTTGCCGTGCCATCCAGAACCCGTCGTGTTATCCACTGCGCCATCCGATCCGCTGGCAGTGGTCGTGAAGGGAGCGCTGACAAAAACATCACTCTTGCGTCGGTGCATGCCAAGTGTGTTACCACATGATACTTACATTTTGACTTTAATCGAATCTATTTTGAGGCCTAATTAGTGACCACCTCATAAACTATGCATGCTCGAAGTTACAAGCAGAAAGGAGCCCATTAAGGTTGTTAAAACCGCCCATTCTTGTCAAATTCTTTTCACTCAGTTTTTGACCTACCCAGAAACGCATAGCAAAAATGAAACCCATTTTTGTGATCCTTGTATGGACCCCTACAACAAGCAACAAACCATTTCCAAAAAGCGCGCCACGACCTGAAAGACCTCCCTTGTAAGGGAAGAGGGTTTTGTTCAGGGCGTTCTAAGAATAGCAATGAGTCAACTAGCTAACACTTTTTTCAACCTCGTTACTTATGTTTCACACTCGCGGATTATCTTCAGAAATAATGTTTGCACCTCCTCTGACCAAGATCGTTGCATGCACGAGAAGAACAGCAGCTGTACGATTCTACCACTCCCGTCACTTGAAAAGGAGCAGAAATGAAGCTGAAGGCAACCGGAGTGGACTCCACACTTCACCCTCGCTAACCTCAATGCAGCACTTGTAAAAAGGTTCTGCAGCTAGCACTTAGTCAGAGGTAGAGCAGAAGTGAGAGGGCTCGGACAAGTGGCACGTTTGGCCGTGGTTAGGCGTCTTGCTGGTTGTGTTGCCCGGTAAGCAACCGGATATCGCTACTTTCCAGCTCCATTCCCGTTCATTACTCAGCTGTGAGCATGCTTTCGCAGCTGCGGGGCCATTCACATCGTGACAAGACTGTGGTTGTGAGTGTGCGAAGTGTCTTCAAGGAAAATTACACAGGTGAGGCGTACATAATGACAAGCAAGACTCCCTGCTCCAACGATGCTCCTCTTTATTTGATGTCGCCGCAATGTGTCGGGGCCGTGTCCGGAGTAGCGACATGAGCCTTCCTTCGACTTCCTTTCTCTGCCCTTTTTGGGATGCGACAGGCGTCCTACTTCCATTCAGGATCGTATAGGGTTATTGAATGCGGTGGGGCCTATGACTTGCGTGGCCAACCGAATGTGTAGGTCACTATTTTTTCCTGCCAGACCAATTTGTTACCAATTCCTCAGGGGTAGTATGCTTGGTGGGCCGGGCGGGAGCCGTTCATGGACTTAATTCCCGGACCACGCGCTCCACTTACCACTTCACCGCTTCTGCTTCACCCATTAGGGATCGGCTACTGAGTGATTCAGACTACTGGTGGTGAAAACGGTGGATGGGCTCATTCCACCCCTCTTGACCAATGGACGGCGTACGCCGAGGACTCCCAGCTAGGAGATGGGTTGCGTTTGATCGCTGAAGAGGAAAGTCGTATTTGTCTCCGGTTTAAGGGCCTTGGGTTGTTGTTTTTTTTCTGTCTTTCCTTTTTTAAAGGCACGGCCCGGGACCACATATGGGGACTGAGGGATCTAAAATACTATTTGGAACGCAGGAAATTACTCATTAAGAAAGAAAAAGCGAAGAAAAATAGTGGGGGATGCCCTTTATGGGGCTCTTTTCCAAACCGGGGCTGGACGAGCAAAGAACGACGAAGGGGCGGGGTCCGGACGAGTTTTTCGCGCGCTGCTGAAATGGTGGCCGGTTGCCAACAGCTGATCGATAGCGTTGGCGTTATTTTCAATTACACGCCATCTCCTTTCTTTCTTCTCTCTCTCCCTCTTTCTTTTTTCTCTTTTCCATGTTTTTTTTCTTGTTTTTTCTTTCCTCTCTATTGTGTAGTGTGGTTTCCTCTGTAATAATTGTAATTTCCAGACTGTGGACCTTCTAAAATTTATTAAATGATCAAATGTGTGCGATCTACTAGATGCATCACTGTTTTATCAAGAATTGTTTTGAATTTAGGGAAGATCCGGCGTGATGCGGCAACTTGAGGTCGTCTTTTGATGAACATTTATTTTGCCTGCCTCTGTATTCATTTCTGAATGGAAACGACGATTCCACTACTGTGAACTTCAGGCCATATGGCAAATTTCTTCCTGGGAAAGGTGAGTACTTCATGTAATACAAGTTGGCGTAGCTCTCAGAGAAGGGACAGTTTACGTCATCATGTTATTCTTTTGCTAGCTTTGCCCTCTTCATTTTTGTCCTTGTGAACGCCCTTCATGAAATCGCCCCTCATTTCTGTGAACTTATGTTGTTGCTGTTCGGTTTAGGTTTTCGTCTCATCATCGTCATTTTTCCAGCTAGCACAATTAACTTTTACTGGAGACAAGGTGTGTTTGTTGTATACAATCTAAGTGCAGCTGCTTTTAGTTATGTTGTCCTTTGTGGTAATCAGTTTGTTTTAGAATATGGAGCGGGCAGGTGTTGGAGTGAAGCGGTCTTTAACATCTTTGCGAAATGTTTTGTCTGAAAAGGATGGATGTATTTCAGTAGCAGCGGTATTCTTTTTATCAACATGATGAAGTTTTCTTAGCACCAACATTACCATATTCCAGGCCCGTGAATGTTCTCGTGATTTGAAATCGAAGCTTGAATTACTCGACGCTGTGTTGAAGCATCAGGTCAGGAGCTTTTCTTTTCCTTTTGATCTTTGTCTTTTTCCAGCGAAGCCCTTTTCCACCGTGGAAGGAAAACATAAATTTACTTTCGAAAAGGTCAACATTCGATCTTTCCAAATTGAACAGCATCCATTTATCGAAAAACCCCACGGTCTCCACCGCGTTTTTATTCTGCTTTTCTACAGTTTTCAGTTTTCCTCTCGCTCACTAAGTAAGTGACACTGACACTATAGCCGAAACTGAAATGAACCAATTTATAAGCTGTCATTGGACTGTGGGGTATGGAGATTATTTTGGTATATCGTTGTTGGGAGTGTTAGCGTACTCGTTTCTCGTGTCATTAAGCTCTGTTTCACCTTTCTCTTTATTCTGCTAGTTCCCTACGAACGGAGTCGAGTGAGGGTGGATTTGAAAACACTGAGGCTGCATTCATACTTGCGTCAGGGTCCACCAGCGACCACCAGCGTTTCGAGCAACGCTAGCGCCAGCGACTAGGAATCGTCATCGATCTAGCGAACGCCAACGTCAACCAGCGTTCGCGAGCGTCCACCAGCATTCGAGGACTAGGAAAGTATAGATATCGACCTAGCAAACGTCTTCGTCCACAGGGCTTGCCAGCGTCCACCGTGGAGAATATCGAGAAATTGGAGGGTAGCAGATAGCTGGAGCAGGCGTCGTGAAATGGCGGCATGCGCAACCGCACCGCACTGCAATCATACAATCTTGATGTACGGCGTAGTGAAGGTGTGTGATGCGGTCGCCCACGCCGCAATTTCACGACGCCTAATACTCTCCTACTTCCCTATACACTCCACTCCTGGACTCTGGTCGAAGCAGGTAAACGCTGGTCGACGCTGGCATTCGCTGCATCGATACCTATACCTCCCAAGTCATCGAGACGCTAGCGTTCACTAGATTGAGATCTCTACCTTTCTGGTCGCCTACGTGTGTTCGAAACGCAGGTGGTCGCTGATGGACACTGATACAAAGTATGAACACAGCCTAATTATTGTTTAGACTACAAGTCATCATCATTACATGAGCTGGTCATTCTCTGAGAATCCGTTATCAAGTTGTGTTGATAGAGGATTGATACCTTGCTCTACATGTGGTGTGGTTCAGGTACATGCGTCGTCCTGTGATGTGTGGCCCAGGAATCTATGACCCTACTACGATACTGCATAGCAGTCATTTGAGTGCTGCTCTACGGGCAAGCTGGATCAAGCTCCTTTATATCTAAGCATCTGTCTTTGCGCGATCTTGAAGAGCTTTACATTAATTTTATTCCGTTCAGTCTCGCATATTGAATAAAGGAGGCACTCAAATTTCAACTGTATATATTTGTCATTTGTATTGTATTGTACTACAACTGTATATTTGTGTATAATCTTAGTCAAAGGTAAAGTTCAGGTTCCAAAGTATCAATGTAAAGCTGTACGGCTCTCCTGTCGTCACATCCGAAGTAATAACAGTAACACGAGGAGATTTGTTGCAAATGGTTCTTATACCTGAAAACAAAAGGGCGAAAGTGTTGCCTTCGATCAGTACCTTTACAAGATGGGGAGGGTGCCTTACTTCTATTCAGAATGCTTATCGAATGCCATATGGCATATAGATAAGAGTCTCATACGTGGTAGAGAAAATTTCCGAAAGTCATGATAAAAGAATCAAAAACAAACTAAAGTAAGTGACCTAACCTTTTGTGGAAGGATGGCATCATCATGGATCTAAGCGGTTTATACCTAATGCAGATTATTTCTAGCTCGGTCAGTGGGCGATTCGAGATATCAGGAAGAACATTCTGAATGACAACCTTCGAGAAGGTCTCAGACAGACTAAGTCGGATACTTACCACTTGAACAAAGAGTGTCATTGAAGCCATCAGCCATGCGATAACTTACTTCAGTCGTAAGTCAGAGACATCAGAAATGAGGAGGAACTGAAATCACAAACTAGATACATACAAATGAATAAATAAACCTCAGAGCGCTGAAATCCATCTTCATGATTCATTATCGCAATTTGACTCTATTGGTCATGGAACTGAACCGTACCTGTCAGGAATGCAGTCAAGTGAAGGCATGCTGTGCCCCATCGCAATGGAGGAGCCCGAGTCGGAGGTCGTGGAGAGAGTGTTGAGGAGGGAAAGGGAGAGGGCAGGACGGAGAAGAGCTGAAAATAATGGAAGGTAAGAACGTGCCAACTGAAAATTCAATGATCATGTTTTGATGTGCTTCAGGATTTTGCGTTTTACTCGGTAAGGAGCTGTCCCCGTCGAGAATAAAGGGTGTGAAGTGGTGCTCCTGTGGGTCGTGTGCGCCTCTAAGCAGTGTGAGAGAAAACTTCTGCTGTCGAGAAGCCTTAGAGGGAGAAAGTGCACGGTGTGAACCTTTGATGGGACTACGAGCCAAAGTGAAGGAATCTGGTCTGTGCATTGTTCATCACCCCTCATTTTACAAGGTCGCACTGGACTCTGAGGTAATCTTTCACTTATTCTCGCTATGAAAATGATATTTGTACATGATATAGGTGCTTCGGGTCCTGTTAGTCAATCTGAGAGTGGAAAGGAAGAGGAAGAAGCCGGTCGACAATGAAAACAGGCGAACGGTTTCATATTTGAAGCTACTAGTGAGGTTATGACATGTGCATGTTCAGGTGCTTGAGGTACTGCGCCTACCGCGCTTTCGTTGCCTGGTGTTACGGGCACTTGGGTTTTCGGAAGAGATTTGAACTCCCTGCTTGTGTAAGGGCGGCCATAATGAATGCTTTTCCCTCAGCTACTGGGGAGTACGTGGGATTCAAGGTAGAGTTTGATTTTTCCTCCATTAGAAGATGTGACGATTGCATTATGTTGCAGGACACAACCAGGGATTCCGAAACTGAAGAGTGGGACGATTCTTGTGTATAGGGTCATTTTTAAATGAATTTTATCAGACACGTTTCTTACCGAATCACAACTCGCATTCATATTCTTCTTCCGCATCCACGAGCTCTTCGACCCAAAGAGGAGAGTCACGATGTTTCTTAGCCTTCCAACGCTAAGAGCCTCTCCTTGAGAACTTCCTTCAACACTAAATCTCTCCAGAGATGTTTCGGTTGGGACTTCACAACCAGAACTGAGTACCTGTTGAGGTACTTCCGCTTGATCATGCGTCTCCTAACCTCAACCCTTTCTCCGCTCATCTCGGCAAGCCGCAACGTATTTATGTGCATTGTGGCCATCATTGTGTAGAGCGGATACGTCGAAATTGGATAGAATATCTCCTTGCGGCAGTATATCCTATCCAAGGCGTTTTTAGCCTCACATATAGAGGTCCCTCCATGTGGGCTAGCTTTGGGCAGATCTCTCTGGAAAGATTCAGTGAGAATCACCTCGCGGAATCTCTTATACGCGAGACTGTCCGTGCTCAACTCTTCAGGTCGAGGGTCCATAGGAGCATGTGAGCAGCCAACCCAGGGGCCTGTCAGCTCGTTCTGCAATTTATTCAACTAGGATATGATGTCGCACGAAGTAGTGAAATAACAGACCCGTGGCCAACGATGCGCACCGCTAATGTGCATCAAGCAGGTGTTAAACATGGATCTGACATCAGCCCCTGTCTTTGCTCCATACTCGATGGCTGTCCACAGATGCGTTTTCACCTTCTCCGTCCAGACGTCAATCATGCCGCAGCCGGTCTTCTTACTTGCCTACAAAGCAAGCATTACCTATGTCACTTCGCTGGGTTCCACTTGTCTTCCTACCTTCCTGAGCTCATTGCCCAGCCATTTGACTAGGTGCCATCCATCGTAATAATGAAGGATGGGACCGAGCTCAGGCTCCAAATCCCGGAGAAGAGCCCCTATGGCACGACTGCGATCAAGTCAGTGACGAAACTTGAAGACCGCATTCAACGACCCATCGCAAGACACGCCTGATGCCCTCAATTTCCATCCGCGTACTAATGTTCTCTGAAATGGCTCCCATCGTAGATGTTCTAACGTGGAGTCACTGTCGCCTTACCCGTCTCCGACCGATGGAGTACACCAGTATGGAGAACCAGTTTAGTACGCAGATCTGACAGCACAACTTTGCCTATCATAGCCGAGTATCCTCGACTATCATAGGCTCCATCGGCTGCCAGGTGGAGTCCCTCGCCCTCCTGTATCAGACTGCTAATTAAGAGAGACTGGTTGCATCAATAATGCCTAATACCTCGTAACTTCTCTTCACCATGGATACAACGAACCGCTGATGGGCGCGGTAAACCGTTTCGATGGCTGGCTTGGTCCACGTGAAGACCTCGTAGAAGAAAGACTTCGAAAATATAGCCAGATCCATCTGACGGGCCCATCGCTCAAGCTCCTAAATATCCGACGAAGCATCAAGATCATTGTAAAATCTAGCAGCATTTAGTACTGACCACATATCGTAGTCCGGTAGTGATAGCGGACACAGCAGCCACAACGTTCCCTTTGAACTTACGTTCACTTCTATGAGGAACGGCCCGCTCCTGACTTTCCCATCTTTTAGCACGAATGCAACAGCTGTTGCACAGATAACGTACCACGGCTGCAGTGCCTACTGCCTTCAGTTGCGTTCTGCCCAGTTCATGGCCACAACTGGGACAGAAACGGAACAACGTCAGCAGTAGAGCACCTTGCACGAGGTAGTATCTTTGCAAGTCAGCTGGATTCGTGGCTCCCACGCGGGCCGTGGAAATCGTCATCTAGCTCAGATCGCATGATGCCGCGGGCATATAGACATTGTAACTACTCGATCTCGAGGATTTTGAGGGTGAATGTGTGAGAGACCTTCGCATGTTCTGAACACTGCATGCCCTCTTCGTCCTCAGTCATTTCGACGTCACCGTCTGGCTCTAGCTCTTCAGAGCCTGTTTCCATTTTCACGACAACATCCGGACTGCATACTGGTCTCCTGCTTCACTTGTGCGTTCAACCTTCTCCACTAATCCCTAAAGTTCATACTGTTCAACACCTTGATTCAAAGCCGCATAACGGTTTTCTGGACCTCCTCCTCCTCCTCTACATAGTGTTCCGGCCAAAGGGAAGTCCCGCGGTACTTCTTCAATGCGGCGTTTACGAACGACAAGACGTCCCGAGCGCTAACGACAATATTCTTAAATTTTGAGATTTTTGAGATAATGAATAATCACTACGTGTTGAAAGCCCTACGCTACTTAGGCGATTGATTGATTCTACGACCCGTCGGGATGTCGTCAGTGCAGAAGTAAGCAGTGCTTCCATCTGCATGCGGATCTTCGTAGTGCGACAGGGGTTTTCCACTCATTGTGATCTCTGCACAAGCGTACTGGGCCTGTCATAAGAAAATATGTTTAGTTGAAGTTAATGCGTTCCACATATCTTCATATACACACCGCATGCACAAAAGTGCTTATGACAAACATATATTCTGTTCTTACAAAACGTTTCCAAAACAATTTCTATAAGCGCAGGATCCACAAAGCCTAGTAACGTAAGCAGAGCCGTTAGCACAAAGTTCGGCTTCCGTGAGGAGGGGTACATACGCCTCATGTTATCTACATTGGCTCTTGATCTACACTGACTCTTGATCGCTATAGTCGGCCCTTATATACGTGGCTCGAAGGGGCGGAACCGGAAGTGCTCGCTATTGGTCCGTTCAAAGTGCTGACGTCACACTTGGCGGGAAACTAGGCGTCGATTGGCCGAGCGTCCGCGTTGCATATCGATTGATTCGGCTCACGTCCCTAAGAGTGTAGAACGAAACGAGAGCTTCAAGCAAAACTTCATCAACAATAACAGGTAACAATTGTTAAAGTTTACAAAACATAACTATAACATAACACAACAGCTCTTGCTCGATGATTTCGTCCGACCACATCCCTTGATCGCCCTCTCTACGACTGTGCTTTTTCTCCACCACTGACTGTTTCGGCAAGTTAATATCCCTATTTGAGCATCACTAATCAGAACCAAGCCTCGAACTTCGCCTTGAAAGCAGGGTTTTTTCCTTTCACAGAATAGCAAGCAAGTGAATAGCTTGAACTGATCGATTCGGGTCGTGACCTAGCTCACTCGATAGAGCTGAAAAAACTGAAGGGGGTAAGCTTTGGCGGTTTGGCTAGTCTGGGGTTATTTCCAAGAGGTGTTTTGGGGCTTTTCAAGGTTTGAGGGGTCAGTTGTCCGGTTAGAAGAGTAGAGCCGATAAAAGTGTTTATTCCTACTCAAGAAGCCTTAAATATGAGCTGCAATCTTATCAACTGTATCTTATCGCATCGGTGGTGGATCTTCTCCTTGATAAGATTGCTCTTCTTTATCTCGATCTTCAACGTGTTCTTGCAGGCTTGCGCTCATGCTTCATTTCAAGTAGATAAATCTTTTATCCTTTAGTGCCTCTGTGACACTCTCCTAATCTGAATTTGATGATGCTGAAGAAGATCCTAGAAGTCTTCAAACATCTCGAGCTCGCGGTGTATTTCTTCGAGTTCTTTACAGTAGTCGGATCGTCTCTGGGAATGTGCACAATGCTTTATGGTGCCTTTTTGGTCCACAGTAATAACACCTTCGCCTTTCGTTCCAGCAGTTGATCGTATCGTGTCGGCTGTTCAAGCATAAGTTGCATCGAGCTTTCTCTCATCTCTATGCTAGCATATACAGGGCAGCTGTCAGAATATTGTTGGCCTTTTGCAAGGCAAAACGAATACATCGAAAAAGGTTCTTCGAATCTCATCTTATCGGACCTGCGTGTTCACCTTTCTGGTACGTGTCGGTTATCCTTCAGAAACGCCTTTACTTCGGTTGTACTGTCCTCCAGCTTGACACGGTCTTCATATCCTGGATGCTGTCGTGGTTCAGCCCTTTCTTTTATTCGTTTGGTTCAGTGTGTCTTCCGTTTTTATATCGCTCTGATCAGTAACAAGTTCATAGTCGTAGTTTTCCAGGTCCAGAGTATACTCCTCAGATACATCGGGGAATGTTTTCGTCTTGACTCTTTCATCCTTCGGTGGTTCTTCATCACTGCTGATGCTTTCTTGCTCATTGTAAATTGCTTCGTCTCGACTTTTTTCAGGAGGACGATCCTCTTTTTCTCCATTCTTCAGCAGCAGTTCGTGTATCTTGATTATTAATGTGGAGATGAAGTCAACTCTTCTCGATAGGTCTTTGGTGGCCTCATTTTGCTCCTTTATCTGCTGGCAGACATCCTCGTAGTAGCTTGTGGAGGTCACCGATCTTCTTTTCCGCGAAAACGACCCACATCCATTCACAGACCCTCCCCCTAGCTTGACAATTTTATTGATGTAGAATTCTGTACTAGCGTTCAATATCGATACTTTCAGGGTTCGCATCGACCTGATCAAGCGCTGGTGTGCACGGCTGCTCTTTTGGCTCTCTTCAGGACATTATTCGCAGCCTACAAGCGATGGCGGACTATTGTCTCGACTTCTTCATTCTAATCCTCTCAGACTTCGCGTGACTGTAATTCTCTGTACGAGTATTACACTCACGGGAAATCTAAGAGGAGTAGAATGAAGAAGTCGAGATCGATCGGTGATCGAGGATTGCTCGTCAAACGTCAAAATGGTTGCTAAAATTCAGAGGGCAAAGAAACTTATAGCAGGGGTGAACGATTTGTTAGTTTTTCTCTGGTAAACATCCTAGGGGATATGGATGAGGTGATTGACTACAGACTTCACACCCATGTTAAGCTCTATTAGCAAATAAGAAGTAGGAAATATTGGTATTCTAGAGATAACAACAACGATTTTTTTTTCAAAAAAATCAATTTACCATTAAGATTCTCAACAGTATTTGGAGAAGGAGAGAAGAGCTATTTTGAGAGCCCAGCTACAACTCCTTCACTTTCAGAAGCTTTTTGAGCCGAGACTTTCTGAATATAATTTGGACGTTTCTCCCCTTTACCTCCGTTCACCATGGCTAATGGATCCCATTTGGTTGTGTGTGTCCTTCAGAACTGCCATAATGACTTTGACGTAGGTGCACGTCCTATTCTATTAGTTTGTCGAGCTTACCTTTCCTTTCCTGCTTGAAGTTGAAAATGACCAAGATCGGACCTATCGTGGTAGGTCACGTGAATAAGAAGGTGTACGGAAAGGCGCTATTGATCAGAAATCGATCCGACTCAGCAAAAACAACAAGTACTGTTGAAGTGAAGGAAGCAACGTAAAAAAATTTTCTCAATAGTTAACCTCATCTTGTGCTATTTGTCTTCGTTAACAGGGAATCTCAGCTGAAATCCACAAAAGAATAACATCAATCAGGAATGAACAAAGACGCGTTAAACACATTCATTACAATATAACAACTTAAAAATGTATGGTGTGTTGTGACGGTGGTGCCATTACTCAAAAAGATTGACTTTTGGCGGACTAACCATCTGAAGTAGAGATCGATTAGGGTTAATAGCAGAATTTTATTCAAATAGGGGAGCAGTAAATAAATCAATAGCGCGGCAAATCGACACGAGCACTCACGATTGGCGCTACAGTCGAAACGGCTGCGATTAAGAGGAAATGTAATGCAAGTAGCTACCTTATCCTGAGGCTGTTGGCGGACTGCTTGTTCAATTCCGGGATTGACCCTCGCCTGCGCTACCAAGCTTTCTGCCCTCCGACAACAGTAAATTGATATCAGGATTGTATAAAGGTCCCTCTGGCAGGGTAATAACACCTTCTTTACAGCGGCTGGCCTTCGTAAGTCATTGTTTAGACCTTATAGATGCCACTACGACTGTGAATAGAGATAGAATGCGTGCCCACAATCCACGATCAGCGGGAGTTCATATTTTATTTTTCATTGAATATGCACCTCTTTCTCGCTTTTTCCCTCTGTCCATTCCCAACATTGAACGACACAGACTTTCCTAGCGCACACGTGCACACGCGTGTCACAGCCATATACTAGATGTTGATATCAACAAATTCAAAATCAACCACTGAAGTTTTTACGCTATCAGATGCATGAAATGAACTTCTACCAACTCTACCTACACAATGGTGTAGTTCACTATCCTGCGGCGCACTGCCTAAGAACCGATATTTTAGACGAGGGATAATCATTTGGATGCTACTCTACATCGGGTTGATTTTCTTTGCCTCTCTGATGTAATTTTCATCTTCTTCAGCTGCCTTGCAACCAATCTATGAAATTCTAATTTTGGCGCTGCTCACGTTGGCGCATGTTTCGCGGAGTGCAAAGCTGTCTCCCTCGTCTCATTTGCTAACACCTCACTAGTATGGTCCGGTTTTTTTACGGGTCCTGGACTGCAATTGAGCCGGACTACATCCTTTTTTAATAAGTTCCTACCGCTTGAGAGCATGTTCCTCCCTTTGTGGGTGGCTGTCAGCACAAGTCAGAAACTTGCAACTCTCCTACGGCATTCTCCTACATTGCCATTGTTTTCTGTCGTCAACTCTCTAAGGTACAGTTGCAGAGTTTGTAACAGGCAGCAGAAATCTAGAATAGCTTCGTAATCTTCCGTTGTGTCTTCCTACAGGCATCATCGCATTCAATTGGACTTAAAGACAATTACCGCGATAAAGTGTTCGGGTAATTGGTGCCCAGTAACGAAGCAGTGGCCCATTTGTAACCCCCAGTGGAAAAAAACCTCGCGAACACCCGGAACACGGACCTCCCTTTAGCAGTGGGGGCGGGGCCTGGGACGAGTGGGGGCGCGCGGCGTGTGGCTGCCGGATCGTGCGGCGGCCGCAATTGCGCTCCGCTTTCGAAATAGGATAATTTTCACATTCTATAGAAATAAGAATGCGGAAACAGTACGCCTGCTGAATCGACGGTTGTCGGAGAGGAGAGCTCCCTTTTGATCCATCACTTGCGTGTGTCGAGAAATTCCGGGCATCGATGTCTCGATAAAACGTGTTCCACTC